CAGTTTTCAGGCAAACCTTGTGATTTACACCTCTGGTTTGAACTCTCCCAGGTAAGACTGGGACATTTTCAAGGAAGAATCCTCATGCTCTTGCTCCATGGAATAAAGAGCTGCAGGAACACGGCAAGGGCTCAGAGACAAATCCAGGTGGGATTATCAGAGGCTCCCTGTAAGGCACAGCTCACAACATCAAGGCACTCCTGGGACCCAAGCCTGGAGCACTGCAAAAGCAAAGCTGATCCCAACCTTGTTTCATTTTTTTTAGACTACAGGTACAGGCAGAATACAGATTAAAAATAAGGCTGTGTTTCCACCTCTGAGCCTGGGCAGGTTTTAAGGACAATGGGAGAGTGGTATGTTTGTTAGAGATATTTATTTAGCTATGCTTCCTGCTGAATGGGACCAAAGGAAAAATAATATAGAGCATGTACATGTAAGTAAATTAGCATTTCAATTTAATTATCTTCTGATTATTTTCTTTTGAGTTGACCAGCCTTTAGGTCTGGTTATACTGGGGCTGTCACAGTTGCACTGTAACATGCCCATTATGGTATTTTGACCACACTGAATGAGGTTAGGCACAAATTTGGAAAGTACAACGTGCATGACTTGATAACCTACACTATTTCTGAAATCTTCTCCTAAGCAGGAATTCCAAAATGCCTCTGGCAGTGTAATGCCTGTAGTGCCACGTTTTGTGGAGCGTACACAGTAATGCCTAAGCACTCAATTCAAACAGGAACTAATCCTTGCAGAAGATCCTGCCCTCTATCCTTGTTAATTCTGTTCCTCAAAGTGATTCCTTGCTAATACAGCACACCTTTAGTGACAATCCGTGGCTTAAGCTGTGTAGCTCAGTGATTCTAAACTTGTGAAGATGTGCACTAATCCTCTCGGTGCTCTGACACATTGGCTTTGGTTCTGTTAGAAAGCTGAATTTGCAGGGAAGACCTGTGTGTGCTGGGTGTGAGGGTGATGCCTGTGACAGAGCACAGTGCCTGCATCCCCCCAGAGAGGTGAAAACACACCTGCAGATTCTGGGGGGCTCTGGCAATGAAGCAGCAGCCCGAAGACCTGGGGTTGCAGGCAGTATTAAAAGCAGCTGACGTGTCCACAGCAGCTCAAAGCTACACAGCCATGAGCCAGGGTGCTACAGAGCCATATTTGCGGTTTGTAGAGCGACTGCAAGATGCATTAGAAAGACAAATAGTAAATAAAGAAGCCAAAGAACAAATAATACATCAATCAGCCAGAGATAATGCTCAGGAAGAGCTGTCAGCTTTCTCATGTCGGCTGGAGTCAGGATTCTGTTTTTAGGCCTTTGGCTGCTGTTTCACCACCACAGGGGGCAGACAAAGTTTGTGGGGCTCTCTGAAGAACGTTCCCTCGTTAAACCTTCCTAAATGAACCTTGAGGACCCATTGTTTGTAACAATTTTCAGTGTTGCACTTTGGTTGGAGAAAACAGGGAGGAATAGCCAGGGCAAAGGGCAAGGCTCTCTCTGTCATGAAAATCCTTTCCAAACTTTAGAAAACCTTCACAAATAGCCAGTATGATGGAGTAGTCATTAACTCCCTACAATTTGAAATGAAAGTATGAGAAGATAGGGCCTCTTTTTCAGTCTGAGAGAAGGATTTACATGGCAAAAGGTGTCTTTTCCCTGCTGCTGCCTGCAGGCTGCCCTTCAGTCACATTCTCAGGCATTGGCTTGTGAACAGACCCTAGACCCTCTCACAATCATCTGTGACCTATTGCTGCAACACCTACAACTTGTACAACTGGGAAAGGCTAAAGAAATCACAGGCTCTGTTTCCAGTATAACTCTGTTCTTTTCCCATGTAATGTCCAGTGCAGTTTTTCAAGAAGCATTAATAAAGTACTATTATATATATTATATATATATATCACACATTTATATATTATGTATTATATATTATATATTATATATTATATTTTATATATTATATATTACATATTACATATTATATATCGTATATCGTATGTTATATATATCACAGCATTTGCTAAAAACCCATCACCGTGCAGGTGACAATTATTTTTCAGTTGTAAGGCAAAGCTTTTGGGTAAGTATATTATGGCCTAATTCCTAATACTGTGATCAATACTTCCTAATCAACACATGTGATCCATTCTTTTCCTAAGCAGTTCATTTGTGCAGTTATGTTTGCAGGGTTTGACTCTTCAGGTTGTTCTGTGCAGGGATGGGAATGGGACTCTGTGATCCTCGTGGGTCCCTTCCAAATCAGGACATTCTATGATTCTCTGATTTTCCTTGGCATCTGAATTCAGTTCCTAAAACCAATGTATAATAATTCATTTACCTATAAACTCCTTGATAAAAAATGGATAAATTTTTTTTAAATGTTCATTCAGGATGATCAAGTTGGAGTGGAAACTTCTGTATTTGGTAGAGGCAGTAAATTTACAGTACTGACAGAATGAATTCCTAGTCACCATGTGGAGCACTGGAGTTGAATATGGAGTATTCAATATGGAATATATCTCTGGATTTTGTATTCAGACAACAAAACATATCTGCATCAAGTAATAATGTACTGAGTGTCTAACATAATGTAGTACAAAATATATAAGAAGGATGTTCTGCAATATAGATATAAAATACATATATATCTATTTCAGTGGTGCATAGGTCAGTTGTTGTTTATTGAAGTACTTCCATGATTACCTAAAATCCAAAATACTGTGTCAGTGCATTCTGAAACATTTGAAGTCAAACCTACCCCTATCCGATACAGATGAGCTGCAAAGTGCTACAAAGTAAATTACAAAAAAGTTATGTAAAATCCTCAATCAGTAGCTGTCCATATTTATGCATATAAATATGCCACAGCTGACAATATTGAAGTATGCCAAAATACACAGTTAAAACAACAGATGTTTGATGGGCTCCTTTGTGGTCAGAGAAAACCTGGCTGATTCTGTCTTCTAAAGGGCAGTGACCAATTCAGGAAAAACAACCTATCAATATTTGCAAGAGTGACAAATTCCCAAAAGACGGCTTCAGTCAGTAATATCTTTAAATGGCTTTTGAAATTCTGGTCCCCTAAAGTTGCAGCGCAAGAGAGAATTTCACAGCTACGGATCTCAGCCCCTCAGAGCTGGGGAAGTACATTTCCACGTTGGAAGTTGCTCTCACACTGGGAAGGACAAGTGAAAACTTTGCTTCCTGTTTTCCTGGTCATAGGTACCAAGCTCCAGCTGATCGCTGGGAAAACCTCAGAGGTCAGTTATTTTCCTGTAATGATAAGGGCAGGTGTTAGCCAAGAGAAATTTCTGCTGGATGTGCTGACACCTCTTTAACCTGTTAGGACTTCTCACAGCATCCCAAGCAGCTTTGATCCTCCCACCAAGTGAGTCTGTGGCACAATTTGTTGCAGCAGGTTTGCTTCCAAGTGGGAGCTATCAAGAGGCACTAAACAGCCTGAGTCATAGCAGCCACCTCGATATTGTCCCAGCCTTTATTGACTTTTCAGCCACCCTGAAACACTGATCTTCAGAATGGAAAAGGTGATAAGGTTAAAAGCTGGTTATTCCTGACAAATGGCCCATAATATCAGCCTTTTCCTTCTTTGGCTGCATCTCTTAAATAACAGCACAAGGAAAGGACTCACTTTTGAGTGACTGCCCCTGTTGGGTTTTTAATTTGAATGAGCTGTGAGCTAAAGCAAAGGTGCCTCTCTTGAGCAAGGGGTTGGACACTGAGCAGAATTCCCTTCTGACACATTTTTCTACAGCTGTGTGCCAGCAATGCTTTCTGTCCTGCTTGTGTCCCCTGCTAACTCCTGGAGTGACACAAAGGGACTGCACAGGCTCTGGGCAGCAGCTGCCTCAGACACAAACCCGTGCTAGGGGCTCCTTCCAGGTATTTTTATTTCCTTCTGTGTCACCCACCACCCTTCAGCTTTTGGTGACTGAAGGAGAAGGAACCAGCTTGGGAAAGATGAGAAGCTATTGCACAAAGCTAAGTAAGCAAGATAAACATACCCCACAACAGCTGCATTTCCCTTCCCTAGAAAACATGGAATGTGGCTTTGATATTGCTAATTTCAAGGATCAAGTAATTTTATTTTTATTTTAGGTCAAGAATGAAATATTAAGTTACAGGAAGCAGGTCTGTGAAAGTGTGAATTCGCTGCTCAGTCAAAAAAATGCAAATCAAATAAAAGAAATCATTTAATACAATCCTTCCTTTGATATTTTCTTAATGAAAGAGCTGCATTTCCCTCTTAAAAATAGTGATGCTTTCCAACTGCAAACAGGGTTTGTAAATTTTCTAGCATTTTTCTGGAACCCTGATGCCATCAACAGAGGAAAGGGTTGCAAATTATTCTATCAATGAAACAGAAGGATAAATCTTAAGGAAGCTTGTCTGTGTGAGGCACAGGATGTTGTCATTGTTATTATCGTAATTATTATGATCAAAAATTAATAATAACCCTTACTCTTCTTCTGGTGGAGACTGTCCCATTGCCATAGGCACTTCAGACCTGTCACACCAGAGTTCATGCAAACTTAAGAGTTGGAAGAAGCTTTGTCCTGCCCAAACCATGGGGTTTTATCTGTGACTGTCTCTGTGGGTTTCATCCTGCAGACCAGAGAGAAAGGCACAGACATTTGTGGCTGCTTTTCAGTGAAACAGGCAAATCACTAAAATACATAAAATAGAACAAAGGTTTTCCAGTCCCTCACAGGGTACCTCATCATTTAAATGTGTGTCATCTCCAAGGACTGAGTGCTAGAAACTATAACCTCATTTACCCTGGAGAACTTTGGTGGTCTGGCAACAGAGTGACTTGAATTTTTTATGCACATGGATGGCTGGTTTTTTCAGATATGTTTCAGAATGAGAATTCAGCTTTTACTGCAGATCCCCAAAGGTATATTTTTATCTTTAAATCCTGCTAGGAGCAGAAAAATTGTTATTATTGCTTCACATTATCTTTCTTTTCTTGGAACAGGATAACGTGGATCTTGGTGACCTTATGTTTTCGCTCTGCTACCTTCCAACAGCTGGTAGACTAACTATTACAATAATAAAGGCAAGAAATCTAAAGGCAATGGATATCACAGGAGCATCAGGTAGGAATGAATTAAATGCTCAGTGTGGATTTCTGTCCCATTTCCCTCCAAAGACAAAGAATTCAACACTGTCAGATCCCAGAATGGTCTTTGAGAGGGGGAAGGTTTTACTGTGAGCTCTACTTGAGTACAGGAGTTGATGAGAAATAAATAACACATTTTAGTTCTCTTAGATCCAAGCAACAGTTTAAAACAAGTTGCTCTCTCAGAAAGAGTGCAAGATTATTATTTCCAATGCCACCACTGTAATTCAGAGTGAAACAAGCTGGCCAAAATGCATTCCCAAAACTGGGCATTTGTTTGTGCAGCAGACTGTTACAGCTATGACACAGACTGGCCCTCTCTGACAGTCCCCAAGAGCCACTGAGCCAGTTCTGCTGTTGCTGGCGTATGGAGAAAGTGGTGATCATCCCAGAATCCTTTCAGCAACCCTTTCAAAAGCCCACAAAAAAAAGTATAAACATAAATAAGATTTCAAAGATTACTTTTAGATACTAGCAGGGAATTGTAGAGTTCAGAAAGGAGCTACAAAGAAATAGCTTTCTTTTCTGATACATTCAGGAGTTTAAAAATAATTATAAATCTCTTGAGAAATATAAGTCACTAATTGTTGCACTCTGAATTGTATTTAACCATACATCAGTAAATCCCATTGTGAAAAACATTGTCATCATCTGTCTGTCCTACAAATCTAACAAGTAATTAGGCTGCTATAAATAGGCTGATACACAGGCTGTTGTATAAAATAGTCATGTATAACATGCTTCAGTGGATATCTTAATACCCTTTGAGAAGCTGGTACACAACAAGGAGCTTCTTGATCCTAAAAAGTTCATTATGAGCAGTCAACCAGGTAAAGCTTTCAAAGCTGCACTGCCTCCCGTGCATTCCATGCTGACAGAGAAGCTCCAATCCCAGTCAGGTCCAGGAGATTAATCCTGCAAGCAGGTATGGACACACAACAAGTCTCCCTTCACTTTCCGTTTGCATTTGTCAAAAAAATCAACATTGTTCTTATGACCCACACAGATCCCTACGTGAAGGTTTCTTTAATGTGTGAAGGAAGGCGGCTAAAGAAAAGGAAAACTTCCACCAAGAGGAACACCCTAAATCCCGTTTACAATGAAGCCATAGTCTTTGACGTCCCTCCAGAAAACATTGACCAAATTAACTTGTCGATAGCTGTTATGGATTATGACCGGTGAGATGCCTGTAGCTGTCAAATATTGGCTGATAGAGTCTTGCACGCTGGATTTGCACCCAGAAAGAAAGTGGGTTCTTTTCCCTATACGTGGGGAATTAACGTCAGGTTGAGCTTGGTAGAAGTCTCCAAATTTTTTTGTTTTGCCAGGCAGAACTTCCTTACTAAATTTTAAAACATAGATTTGCATCCATAACTGACATCAGTAAGCTGCAGATGTGTTTGGCAGAGCTGAGGTAACTGGGCATTTAAGCACTGATGTTCAGTTTGTACATTTATGCTAAGCCTTTACATACACACACTCCATTTATAAAGTCGTGTCTTAGAGCCTGTTTGCCTTTGCAGCTAATTACAGAACACAGGCAAAGAACCTTTTGTGTGCTACAAGGGGGGGAAATATTTCAATATTTCAAATTGTTTTGAGCAGTGGGAAGTGCAAAGAGCGAGCCTACGTATTTCCTAGTGCTTTGTGTTCTCCGGGCAAGAATTAATCCTAAAACCCCCACGGTTAACGTTTCTGAATGAAATATGCAACTGGTGTGGTTCCAAAGGTAAAATTTTAAGAAAAAAATATTATGGACCATTTTCACAGTGTAGGTCACAATGAGGTCATTGGAGTTTGTCAAGTAGGCAACGATGCAGAGAGTCTAGGTCGCGACCACTGGAACGAAATGCTCTCGTACCCTCGGAAGCCCATCGCTCACTGGCATCCTCTCGTGGAGGTAAGGCTCTGATTTATTGCTTCCCCCTCGCAGTGATCAGAAATGTTCTCCCACACGGCTTTAGAAGTTGGATAAAATTTTATGAGCAAACCCAAGATCCGCGTGCATGAGGTGAATGCTAGAAAAGGGTTTGGAAATGCTTTAAAGTTGAACTGTGACACGCAGGTTTAATTCTGCTCCTTTCAATTTTAGGGAGACAGAAGGTAATTGTTGTCTGTAATATACAGTTATGAAAACACCAAACATTATACACTCAATTGAGGGTTTGGTTTTGCTTTTGAAATAAGATCTTGGGTAACTTTCGCCGTTAATTGATGTAAAGAAATGGATCTTGTTTACAGAGCAATCAAGACTTATTTTTTTTATATACAACAACCTAATTTGACTTCTTTTCTTGTAACAATATATCATCCATGGCACTAGCACATCTCAAAGGATGCCTAACTGCAGTGACAAAAATATGTTTAAGTGTCTTTGGAGATCTGAGGCGCTCATAAGAAGCGACACAATCAGAAAAGCTTTTCAAGGTTCCTATGGCTTTTTTTTTGTTTTGTTTTGTTTTGTTTTTTGTCTTTAGGGCCCTATTCAGCAGGAATGTTATGCAGGTCTTCTGCGCTTGGATGGCTGCCGAAGAGGCTTCCTCACCCTTTTAACCTATTCAGCAGAAATTTGGCATTCCTGTTGAACTCTTTCTTAGCCATATCCTCAGGGGCTATTCCACAGAGTCCAGTGGGGTAAAGATGTCCTTTTAATCCCTCTGTCTAATCCTCTCCCCAATACAGGGAACACTAATCCTGAGTCATGAGACACAGAAATTCATCAAAGATCGAACTAAATTGCTTCCTAAAGTTACCATGACTTGCTCCCATTGTTGCTCTCACTGGCTGAGTCAGGCAGTGCTCCCAGTCAAAGGGAAGTGTCTTGTTTATGAGCAGCCCCAGAGCTATACTCAATGTTGAAAGACAGGAAAGAGCACAGGGCCCTTATGAAGCCAGGAGTGATGCTGTGGGCACTAATACTTGGAGGCAGGCAGTTCACAGCCCCTCTGAGCTTCCTTCCTGCACCAGAGTGCAGCTGTGCTACCACAGTGCCACTGAAGATTTCCCTGCTTGGTTCTGAGCTCTGGCCATAGGCAGTTCCAGAAAAGACTGCCAGGCATTATGAAGATGCTGCAAGCTGGGAAGAATCCCACAGTCTTGTCCTGTGTCCATAGGGAATTGTGCTTCCTGGTGCCACAGCAGCACAGGCTGAGCAGGGAGTGCCCATGGCAGGAGGAAGGCTCCATGCCTTCCCAACACAGCTGCTGCCAGCAGTGGGGCAGCTCTGCCCAGGTGTTTGTGCCCCCAGTGACAGGGTAGATGCTGGCTGAAGTGCCACGCTTGAGGTGCTGACCTGGGCATTTGGGAGCTCTCTGCTGCAGGCAAGTGTTGGCAGGAATGTCCTGACAGGGCACACGAGGTGTGGTGTAAGGGTTACTGTCGCCCAGAGCACAGCAAGTGTCTCTTAGCAGAAGTTGTCTACATCCTTATATCCAACCTGTCTTCCCTCTTTGATAAATTTCATTGCAGCCAGAGCCCACAATTAGGTTTTGACAGCTCTTCCCTTTTCACAGGCATCCTGTTCTTTTCATACATGCCTGGCTAACTTCTTTAGATTTCATTGCTGTGGATTGCTTTTCATGTCACTGAAAGCTAAACAGAGACATATTTTTTTCCTTCCCAGGAATCAAGTGGGGGAGGGTGTCCAGCGCATCCAGGCTGTGCAGAGAAATACATACACAGCATATCATTTTGGTTCCTGAATCAGGATTAGACTCAGCGAGAGCTTCTGGAACCTCTGTGGCCACAGCCATAGGACCCTGAATATTTGCTGAATAGGACCCTCAGTCTTCTACTGTGTGAAGAGCTATTGGTTTCAAATAGCGTGATGTTATCCACTTGTAGCATTAATTCTCCAGCTGACACTACTGCTACTGATAGATTATTTGTATGGTCGTAAGCATTACCCAAATTGGAGTCATCATTTCTGTTCAGTAGAATAACCCAGGTTTACAAGCAAAATGATAGCAATGTAAACCAACAAATATGGGAAGCAGCAACAAATATTGTCCTTGTACTTGCAAAAAAGGTGCAGTATTGTGAATGATTAGCTTTCTTAGTATTTTTTTTTCAAGAATGATTGCCATCAGATACTTATTTTTTGATGACAAGTTGCGTCCTCAGTCTCAGCTGGTGCCTCCTTTCACCTGACGTGAAAACAAATTAATATGGTTCCTTGCAGAAATCCTTCAAATCTGAAAAACTGTAAAAGAAGTTCTGCTGGGTGAGAACAAGATGCATATGGTATTTGTAATGACAGCATGTTCTTTGAGGGAGGAGATAACCATCTGTATAACATGGAGGTTGTTAGTCCTCAACCTTTGTGGATGATTTTCCAGTCAGCGTTTCTGAGTCGTGTCCACGGCACTGCAGACTGTTGGAAGTGTGTCCCAGGTGGCAATGCTGGATCATACAAACACACACACACACACCCCCATGCCGTCTGAAAATGCTGTTCCGAATATATAGTGCCTGTGAAGACTTCCTTTATTATTTGTGGTAGAGTTAGCAGGGCTGTTTTACATGATGGTATACTGTAAATTCTGACAAATTCTGACCATTAAAAGAAAATGAATCAAAGCACTGCATTTTGTCACGTAATGAAATTTGTACCCCGAAGCAGGAGACCCTGGAATAAATTTTTCACCACTCATTCAGCCATGCATGGAGTTCTCTCATCCTCCAGTGTCTTCTGCAGAGAACTTGACTCACATCTTTACGTGGGAATTTTTTTGTTTAAAAGATGCAAATGCAAAATATGGATGTTTTATACAATACAGCTGTCTGCTGTGTACTTACAGAGAGGGAGCCCTGGTCATTAGATAGAGTTCAGATAATTTTATGTGCACACACATTGCTTCTCATCTTGTATGTGATCAGTGTTCACCAAGCATTTTGGACCTGCACCACTGCTGACACAAATATGCATGCACAGATTTGAAGAAATATCTAACATTTTGGCCTCAAGTCTAAAAAATTAGTTTTATAACCTATCTATGAGGATCTTCCACAAAATCAGAATTGCTTTTGGGTAAAGAATATCTTGGAACTTGCAGGAGATCTTGGATCTGCTGTAAATGTATGCTGCAGGTATAAATCAGCCAACAGCTCAAAGGGACATCAGCTGAAAAGTGGTATTATTATAATTGCCAGTGGGTTGCAGTTCTTCTGTTTTATTACAATGCTCAGTTTATTTAATTTATCAAAAGAATTATTTTGAACAGAGTTCTTCTAAAACACGGAAAGATATCTCTGTGACCGTCAGCATTTCAAGTGGAATCCAGCAGACTTCAAAGGCTTAGAGATGAGGAAAACCCCCTAAATTTATTGAATTCTCCTAATTTTTGCTCATGACTTGCAAACTGTTACTCAGGCTGTGGCATTACTATGTGCTTTTTACAAATACCTGCCTTATCATAGTAGTGCATCTATAGAGTGATAGAGATTTTATATATTTGGATACTTCACTCTTCACCTTTAAACTCAACCAGTGATATTCCCTAGACCCTAAATATTTTTCTGTTCTGGTTCTGGTTGGCCAGTAGACTGCTGCTGTCTTTGGGCTGTATTACAATAATACCACAGCCTGGAAGGAATGGATAATTCTGCCACAAACTCAACTGGAAACCCAGGGAAAGCTATGGTCCCAATGCTGCTCAGTCTTTCTTCTCTGAGCTGTGATTCCCAGTGGTAATCACCAGTAGGCTCACAAGAATGATTTCAAAGCTGAAACCCTCATTTATTTTCTTATTTGCTGTGAATGCATTATTACACTGTGTGACAAGTATGGTAACTCTAAAATAGGAAAGAGAATCGCTTAGAAATGCATCTCAGCAAGATTTTAATCCCATTTTGCTCTTTAACAACCTGCTATTAAATTGTTACCTCTAGTTTTCCATAACAAGCCTCTGTGTCAGGTGCTGTTCTGTGACAAAGCAGTGAGTGGCAATGGGAAAACCTTCAGAGTTACTGACAGTGAGGCCGAGTGCCGTGGACAGTGCCCTGATATTCCCATGACAAAACACTCACAGCACAACTCCTCTGCAGCTGAGTGCACACGTATCTCTGTGTCTGCTTCCACTGAAATCACAAGACATTAAAAGCATTGCTGTTTTCTTTCGTTTTGCTTTTCCCTGCAAAAAGCCCTGGCGGTGCGTAAGCAAATATTCATCTCAATCTGGGACAGCAGGGACTACCAGAACAGAAAAACAATATGCAGCATAAAAAGCCCAGTGTTACAATTGTTCTCACCAGCCATTGCATGGCTCAGTTTTCCGTGCCAGCAGATCCATAAAACACAAAAGCAGCACATGTGAGACAGTTGTTACATAGAGGTACAATCCAATTGCTCATAGGGGAACTCCTGGATCAACACAAAATGAAACAACAGCAAAGGACAATGCAAAAGAATTAAAAAAAAGAGGTTATTTTAGTCCACTCTTCTTGGCTTGAGGGGATGGTTGCTGAGGGGGCTTTTGGGTTGTTTTTATTCTTTGGTTTGGTTTGGTTTGATTTGGTTTAGTTTGGTTTCGTTCACGCGTTTTAAACACCAAGCATGATATGTAGCTATATTAGCATGAGCACCCAAAGCCAGGGACACAAGAGATACGTTGATTTACATGCTTATCACCTAGCAACATTCCAGCACTGAGGGGATGTGTCTGCAACTGAAATAAAAAATAGCTGTTTGTTACTTTTGGTTTAAAAGTAACAAACAATAAACAGGGACCGGGAAATTCAGTAGAAAAATCTGTTTGACCCAGCTAGAAATCCATCAGAAATGACTTTGTTGTTAATACATTTTGTTTGAACAGAAGGAAGTGAAAAAAGCTGATCAGGTGACTCCATCTGAAGTGTCATTGATGAAATGAATGACACTTTTTTCCCCTTAGAACAGTGCATTGCCAAACGATTGCATCTCAGTATCAAGAGAGAAAACAATGGATCTCTTATCTAGGGGAGGGGGGGGGGGGAATCATATAGTGAAAGTAATCCACAACACTGTAGAAGTTAACAGGAGTCCCCCGTGCTGCAGAAAAGGGCAGCAGGACAGACTTGGTGACCCTGAACCTTGCTGCAATTAGTGCCAACACGATTGAAGGCGGCAGCGTGGCAGCGCGTTGCGCCAGGCGCCAGCTGCATCCCAAGAATGGCTAGCTCCAGGAGCTGCGTTCACAGCTCCTTTCCAACCCAGCGGGTTGGGCAAGGAACCCCAGCTGGGAGTTCTGCAGGGCCCCAGCAGCACATCCATCTCCAGGGCCCTGCAGCTCCCTGGCAGCGCATCCATCTCCTTGGAGCGCGGCGGCGGCGCTGCCCACCGCGGGGCGAGGGGGAAGGTGACAGGAGGACTTGCAAACATCTGGGCTCTTCGTTTGCTCCTTTGTTTTGTCTGGGCTCTTTAGTTCCTCCTCCTCCTCCCCCTCCTTTCTGCTCAAGCGTAGACATTGTGAAGCTGAGGTGTTTTACTCGGTTTGCATGCTGGCCAGCTGCCGTCCTCGATGCCCGTCGCGAAGGTGCGTGAAGAGAGGTGTGTTGTTTTCTGGTATCCTTTTGGTTTTGGTAGCACATCAGCATTGTACTATACTTTATTATTTCTTGTTCAGTAAGTAGTCCTGGTATCTCTATGTTTCATGTCTAATTTTGGAGCCATACCTGTATCAAGGCTCTCTCAATTAGGTGGGCATTTTGTTTGTTTAGTAGAAATAATGCATGATTCTTTTCGCGGTGATGGTTCGAGGGACAAAGAAATTCTTAATTTTGTAATATGTATTACAATCTTCTGAACACAAGTAAAAATGTACTGTGATTTATTTATATAAATCTAGTCTGAACAAATAAGTTTTGATCTTAATAAAAACTGTAAGAAATTGTGCAATTGTAATTTATTACTATTTTGTATTTAATAAATATTAAAGTTCAATTCATTATTCAGAAAGCCAGAAAACACTTTGGAAATGTTTTTGCTCATTTTTTCTCTGCAGATAACATGTTTTGATAAAGTACACGAGGCCAGATAGAAAAAGCTTTTAATTTTGCAGCACTCACACATAATTTAGGAGTTTGGATACTGAAACCTCATGTTTCATCTCATGTCCACAGTCATCATGGCAGAAAGACTATTTGACATGTCAGTGGTGAATCTCATCTGTGTTTCGTATTAAGAAGAAAATCAAGAGGCTACAGAAGTGCTTCTATCAAGGGACATTGTGTTAAATTACCAAAATTAGTAATTAGCATGGCATGCTGGCAAAATTAGCAGTCCTCCTGTCCCTGACATGTAGCTCCAGGAAATTCTGAGAGGTTCCCTGGCAGAGCCCAGAAACAAATGGAAAAGAGCAAAAATACATCTTGTATGACCACACAAACTGCACCCAAAAAGGTAGCACTCCTGTCCTTTTCCTTCTCTTTTACACCAACTGAACTTATACATCCATCAGCAAGAGCCCTACATGTCCATGACTTCTAATTAAGAACCTCTTTGTGCCTTTAGGGATCAGTTCAGTCTCTCCTCATTTGGCAGATCTGGCCTGCTTGCACACACCACATTAATAAAGGGCTGCTGCGACACAAAACAATATTCCATGCCACTACGAAGTTAATTTCATTCTGCTCTCTTCTAGGGAATATCTGATATCACAGAGGCATGGAAAAGAGATGAGAACAGGCCTGTAGTTTTGAACTTGGTACTGTCCTTAATAGTGGGAACACCTTTAGGCCCTGGATGTATTGGAGATGGATGGTTGGCAAGGGACACATCTATAGGCATTTTGGCAGTGAATGCAGTGTTAATTATCCCTCTCTGGCCCATATGTCACTATAAAATACACCTCAGCACAGGAGGTGTATGAACTTCAAAATTGTTTTTAATGCCTTTTAGTAATACTGGTTTCTGCTTCTGTGTTAATAAGCAAGCAAAAGCCTCTTCCTCTGTCAAAACAGGCCCACACGTTTCTCCTGAGACACCTTTCCAGCAGAATCATCCTTTAAGTCTTTGTATGTAGCCCAGAGGCCTGAAAAGAAAAGGGGCAGTGGTTGCACCAGCCTGCTAATGCCTGCAAGCCAAAGTTTGGGAATCCTCCCTGGAAAAGCCTGATCAATAGCAAGGTATCCCACACAGCCATAAACCTGAGGAACTATTGCTGGCCAGGGTCTGTGAACAAATCACCAACAGGACAGGACTGCAGGAACGTGCCTTGAGCTGCTTTATTTTCCAGCATCACTCTCCTTACATGGTTATGACAATGGGAAGATGCCAGCAGCTCACATCCCAGGCAGCAGAGCAAGAACTCAATGATACAACTCACTTTATAAGTTTTTTGCCCAATCACACAAAACAAAAGCACATTGACCGTAGTTCCATCCAACCACTGTAAGCACAGGTCAAACAATGCTGGCTTGCATGAGGTTTCTCATGTAAGCAGCACATGTTTTTTTCTCCCTGATTGGTATTCTTACATTGCTATTTAAACAGAATCACGTAATTCTCTGGGTGCACTCATGCATTTATCATTCCCATATTAATTAACCACACGCTTCAAGCTAGCCCACCGCGCCATCCCAAAGGTCATGGCTTTAAACCACTTCATAACTTGCCAAAAAACATTCAGTGATTCGTGTTCCAGTACCAGCACATGTAGGAAAATCTGTAAATATTCCAAGACGTCAGAAGTGCCTGAACAGTCTGGTTCAAAGAGCTTGAATGAAGCTAATATTAAAGAATAATTTAGAAGTGTCAATAAGCTACCTTGTGTTAGATCCTCACCCAAAGATAAAACTCTCAATAAAAATATTTTTATTGAGTTGGAGTAACCATTCTCAATAATAACAATAACAAATTGTATATTGAACCCTTATTTTGTAATTTTCAATTTAGCAGGCAAATTCTGTTTCAAGAATGTCACTGTAATCCTATAATTTATATCTGGTAATTGACACAAAGGCAGTTTTAAAGCAATATATTAAATAGAGTTCAGCTACATTAGGTAGCCATTCCATCCTGAAAATTGAATATAGTTTTAATAAGCATCTTTTCAAAATGCAACAGTTTGGACCCTTTTCCATAACTTCTGTCTTCCTAAAAAAAAATATATAATTCCCAACAAAAAATATTATTTAAAAAACCCCTCGATAACATCTGAAGAATAATCACATAGCTGAGGAAAAAATCTGAAATCATCAATCAGTTTTTGTATTTTAGTGAAACTCAAGTCCAAATATTTGCTGTTCCAGTGGAAATATTTCTTCCATCTGCCAGAAGATAACCTTTGATATTGGTGTTTCCTCACTTCAAAACCTCAGCTCTCCAAACATGTTGGCATTTTCCTTTCAGTTCAAATGGGTTTAATACAGACCACGTTTCAGGAAAAGAACAGTAAGTCCTCAGAACATCTTTTCTAAGTCTGGCCTTGAATCAATTAGAAATACAATTTTGGAAAATAAATAAGTTTTGCTATTCTTATCAGGAGCTAAGGCTTTCTGTCAGATTGCCCCAAATTAATTAATTTCTTGCATCTTTACCCAATTGTTTGTAAATGCCCCAAGACTTCTTCCCTTTCTACACTACTTAAACTACTTGAAAAGCTAAAGTGGATTGAAACAGGAGGAGCAATTTCCAATGTGACATTGGAGCTGTGTCATCCCTTGATGAGGAAGGACAGGAAGTTACTTCCTCCTACTCTTACTATAAATCCATCTTAAATAAAAATTTATTGTTCCAAATAATAGGCTGAGATTGCTCCAAAAAAATTATCCTTTCTTTCATCAGGAGCATCTTTTTGACTGGGTGTGGGGCTCTGCTGAATTGCTTTTCCATTTCCTCCAATCTGCCTGAGAGCTCGAGTCCCACTCTGCCCCACTCACTCCCTGTTCTGCCCTTGACCTGCAAATTTCAGCTGAACCTCCAAACTTCTGCAGCTTTTCACAAGGTCTGAGACCACTGGCCTTGGAAATTCCACTGCCAGTAGAAATAACTTCCAAGTGGTACCTAGATATATGCCTGACAGATCTTCATTTTAACTGTCAACTGGTGGCACCACTATTATTATTATTATTATTACTACTACTACTTTATTACTATTGTTATCATTATTATTATAATTATTATTTTTATTATTATTATTTTTATTATATAATATTTTTATTATTGTTATTATTACTACTATTATTATTTGTTATTACTATTATCTATTTACATTATTATTTTTATTATTACTTTATTGTTATTGTCATTGTTATTGCTATTATTATAATCATTATTGTCATTATTATTATTTACTATTATATATTATTTTTATTATTGTTCTTATTGCTACTATTATTATTTGTTTTTACTATTAATCGATTTACATTATTATTTTCTATTATTACTTTATTGTTGTTGTTATTATTATCGTTATTATTGTCATTATTATTAA